ATAATTTACCATTGTAGTACACCACACTTCCACCATGGGACTTTTGATAAAGGACCACTCTTTGTTCTCAAGTGAACCGTCTTTAAACACAAAATCTCTGAACACAAACTAATGTCTTAGTCATACCTCACTTTTAAGGCACACAGAATAATTACTTGTCTTCAGACGTTAACTTTCATGTCTCAAGACAAAGACTTTGTCTTCATTCATACACTTAAGGTCTCAAGACATCTTATGGCACAGTGACAGCTGGTCATGGACAGGTTGCCAGTGCACTTCCTTCAAAACAGGAGTGATATGAGCTCTCTGGTTTGTTTTTGTTAGGGTCTTTGCTGATTCTGTTTGCAGATTTGAGTCGTAGAGGATGAATTGTCTTCTCCGGTAAAAACAGCATTACAGTGATCAACACTTCTTGTAACAAATGCATGGACAAGTTTCTCTGCGTCGCTCTGAGATAGAAAAGGCCGAACTTTAGTGAACTTTAGTTATCAGAAGGAATGGAAATGTATAATTGTGTGTCGTCAGCATAGCTGTGAAAATTTACATCCCTAAAAGAGAAAAATGGTAGCCCTAAAACTAAACCTTGTGGGACTCCACAAGTAACGTTTCAATGATTGATTTCCATTTCCATTACTGTGTGTAGATTTCTGTTGTCTTTGTAATTCCTGGCTTTAATTGCTAGGCTGTAGCAGCAGCTCCCCTGCTGAGCTGTCTTGGTTTAAATAGCTTTTGTTGGTGCCTCTGAAACGGCCGGACACATACATTGTTTATCATAATACATTTGCAACATTGCTGTTTTAAAGCAGGCATTTTCCTAATTGCTTGGCTGTTCAGAAGAGCATATCAAAGGGATGAAGATACTGTGGTGCTAAACCGGAGGGTTTTAGTGTTCTCAGCCAAACATGACTGAGTCATGATGCAAGTTAGACATTGTGATGTTTCGGACCTTTGTTTGAGGATATTTTCTCTAACTGGACCTTACTGAATTTTAATGGTCTTCTCTGGTCTAGAAGAATAAGCCAATAATGGATAATTCATCCTTTCTAATTAAGCCATTTAAGGTTGACGTATTGTATTAATATCCATGTGTTTAGAAATCTTCCTGCTTTGTCGTGCTGCTGAACCTTCTACTAGAACCGGGGTCGCAACCCAAATGTTAAGAAGGGCCATTTTGTCCTTTCAGCAAAAATCAAACCACCTTGGGAGCCACTTTGCTCTGCTTTAAGCTTTAGCTGAGCTGTAGCCACTTTTCTCGCATCTCTGACAGGAAACTTTTCCACAAAAGTTGAATAGTTTCTTGTAAAATGTCTCTCAACATTTGATTAATTTTTTTAAGACTGAAGTTGTTCGCCATCTTTTTGTTTGAATTTTCCCATTCCACCTTAAATGGTGCCTGAGGTGGCAGAATAGAACTGCTGCACCATTTAAGGTGGAACGGAAAAATTGAAACGAGAAGCTGTCTTTAGCTTTGTGAGTTTTTAGTGTTTGTCAGTTTCTCACTGCGGATTAAACGTGTCAGGAAACCAGCTGGAGTGATTACAAACACTAAGGGCGTTTTCACACTTGGGCCGTTTCAGCATCTGAAGTGGACCCAGACCGCTGAGTCATGGTTTCTTTTGCATATGTGAACACGCCAAACGAACTCAGACCCCCCTAAACGGCCCCGAGGTGGTCTCAGTTCGGTTCGTTTGTAGTTCGTTTTGTGGTTCGATTAATTTGTGCATTGTGAAAACAAAACGGCCCCAGTCCGCTTTAGCTGTGCTTTATGGTGAAGACCTCGATGCTCACCGCACACACAGCCACAGTCTTCACTTTAGCAGGTAAACAGACCAAGGATCATTATGAGGTTCTACTCAGGATAAAGTCTGTCCGTGATCTGAGACAGACAGCAGCGCTGACTTATTAAAGCGATCAGATGCGAGAGCTCGCGTGATTTTACCGTGTTAAAGGCTCGAGCTGGGCATGCAACGCAATTCTCAGCTGCTTTCACTCTGAACGCTGAATGAATGAAAATTCGCCGGGTGGAGCTTCAGTGAGGAGCACAGCCGAACACGGAGCCCACCGCGGCAGACCCGCAGGGCCGTGTTTCCAATTTTGCGCGATGGACTTTGGCCAATCGTTTCAGCGCGGCCAATAGGAGAGCAGCAGGCGGGTCTGGCGGTTCTTCTCGTCACCTGATAGGTCGGATTTATCAGAGAACGCGGCCCACTTGGCGAGCGCTCTGCACACCGTGAGTGCTGTGAAAGGGGTCCGAGTTCTAATGGAGCTGTGGTCTGAACAAGAAGTGGTCTGAGATCTCAGTGGACCAGAAAGAAAACTGAGTCCTCTTTAGAGTTCACTTACATTGTGAACACAAAAAGAACTGAGGTCATTTGCGGTTGGTTCCCTTCCAGGTTCACTTAAACAGAACTCGGTTCGGTTCTTTTAAAACGAACTATATGTGAAAACACTGTAATAAGTCGATTTGTCTCCAAATTATCGATGTTCATCTTAAATCTCTCTCTTTGCCGTTTCTTTAGCTACTAGCTAGGCGGGATTGTTGTCTGTGTTGCTATGGTGACCAGCAGTCTGCGCTGATCTTCAGGGTTAAAGGGTGAATCAGCAGTTCTACATTAACTCCAGAGTTTAAGACCATTTATTGTTAAACTGTGTTGAACGATCAGCAGAGCTTTATTTTACTGTAAAGGAGGATTATTTTATTTTTACCTACAAATCTGATTCAGCTGTGGAGCCACAACAGGGCAGTAAAAGAGCGGCATGTTGCCGGGCCCTGGTCTAGAAGAACTAAGGTATCAATTATGATGAAACTTTTCAAGCACGAAGTGTTGGTTAATTTCCTCCTGAAATTCAGACGAGAGTTGGCTGACAGAAATGTTTCCACTCTGGGACACTTGAAAGTGAAAATGTCTTTCTTTTTTTTGTCAAATCCGTTATTCTTGGCTGTCATTTCTGTTCCATGTGCCGTTCCTAATCCTGGACTGAAAGTAGTCACAGTGCTCTACACAGAGAAGCAGAGTCTGACAGCATCCATATAAATGAAGTCTGAATACCAAAAATACTTCTGACTGTTTGCGGCGCGGGAGGCAGGTGCCAGTATAAACTCAGTGGTGCAGGCTGGCTCCCGAAGCGTAAGCACTTAGCAGAAAGGGAGGCATTTCAGTGAGAACTGCATTGGCTGCTTGGAATAATAATATTCAACAAAGTACGTGCTCATTTTTGGGAGTTTGAGAAACTTTGGTTTTCTTGAAAAACAGCAGTTCTTGAAAGTGAATGTGGTGATTGAAAAGTCGGTGCATTGCTATTATTAGCTGTGTTCCAAAGCCGAGGCTGCAGCCGAGGTAGTGCAGGTCCTCGGTAGGACTGTCCTATGAAGACTCCTCCTTAGTAGCCTATTGGTCAGACAAATGGACCAGTCCTAACGAGGCTGCGTGGTGACGCCACCAGAGCAGCGCGAGACTCTGAGGAACTGGTGAGAGAAAATGGAGTTTGTTGCGTTTTCATTTCTTCACAGTAACGGAGGAGATGATCTCATGTAGTACGATAGACTACATACATACAAATACCTCTGAATAAAATACAACATACGGACGGATTCTTTAATTAGTCATTTTACACTTTATAAGGTAACAAAGACATACGTAGGAACGTAGGCTGCATTTCCAGGCTGTATACGAAGGTCCTTCATTTTGGAATGGCCTGCTATGATGTAGTGGCCGAGAAATGCAGCCTAGGCTTTGGAACGCAGCTACCGTCTGTGTTGTGCATGTGCTCAGGTACTTGAGTACTCAGTCAACCATTCGAAGGATCAGTATTCGAATACCGAAATGAAGAACTATTCGGGTATTTGTTCCGTTTTATTACAGAAACATTGACTAACAATTTATTGAAAAGCCGTTTTTATGTTTTAACAGCACTGAAAAATGTAACATCTTTGCTTTTATTTGTAAGTGTATGTGTATATATATAATATATACATACATACGTGTGTATATATATATATATATATATATATATATATATATATATATTACATTACTCTGCCAGTGTCTGTATTTTAATGCAAGGATTTTTTTGCAATCTAGTTGAATACATTCTGATTACAGATTAAGACTGAGGTGTTTATTCTCACTCTACTCAACAATCTTATGGAAAACCTTCATCTACATGCTCACTACGAGTAATCAGATCTAAAATGACCTGCATGCGTAGAGAACCGTTAGTGTAGGCGTTACCATGACAACCAGCATCGCGTGAGTCCAGTCAGAGTGAGATGAGCAGCAGTGAGCAGTGCTTGTGTTTTTAACTGCTTTAAAATGATGTCAGACTCAGGAAAATGTCCTTCAGATGTCCTTATTAAAGAAGGCCGAGAGAAGGACGTCGTGTTCTGAGACACATAAGCTGGACGTCCGTCCCACCGCCGTCTTTTAAAGACCAGAGCATAAACTTCGTCTCCTCTGCAGACCAGTTTCTGCTCCGCCATGTTGAACGGTATAAACTTTCACTATGACGTGACGAACATGATCAGAACGGACTTAAACTTTCCGATAGGGAATGTAATCAGATACAGACGTTTACACTGATATTATTCTTCTAATTAACTGATTATTTACAGGATTACCCACCTCGATCAATCGGATAGAAATTGTATTCCGAATGGCCTCAATCAGACTAGACTATTCCGATTGAGCTATTAGTCGGATTCTAATAGCTCAATCTGATTCAGTTGTTCTTTTGCGCATGCGGCTCAGTTTAGGAGCTGATCTGTTTTAAGGTTTTAAGGGGACAGTACATGGACACACAGAGTTTGGAAAGGATTAACAGAATTTTTCAAAAACCTAAATAACCGATACGGGCAAGATTACGTCAGTTAGAGGTTTTGAATGTCGGTTTCGAATACTTTTTGATTAATCGCCCAGCCCTGTTGCGCGCTGAGAGATTTACCCCCTAGTTAAATTACCACTAAACCAATCCTACTTCAACACGTTTTATTCCTTCTTCAGGAAACCTCGGATAAACTCTCAGCTTGTGGCCCAGCAGGTAGCTCAACAGTACGCCACTCTTCCCCCAGCCAAGAAAGAGAGGAGGGACAGATCTGACCGAGACCTGCCTGACGACGATCACTACGATATGGACAACTCCGACTCGGACAGGCTGAGCAGTGTCCACCCTGACTCCGACCAGCCGGACAGACTGGGCCTGGAGAGCAGCCAGTCAGACAGAGGACACGTGCATAAAGACAGGAGACAGGAGCGCGTTGGACTGGATAAGCATCAGCAGCTCCATGTGGACAGGAGGCCTGAGAGACCAGGCCTAACCCAGGAGCTGCTGCAGCACGAAGCAGCGCAGAGGGAGAACCCACACAGAGAACTGATGGACAAGCTTCAGCCGCAAAGGCAGCAAATGGATAAGGATCATCCGCAAACAGCGGGGGCTGGGATGCAGCCGGCCGACAGGATGAGGGCCGAGAAAGAGGGACTGAAGAAGGGCAAACTGGAGAGGACGATGGCGGACAAACAGAAAGAGAGAGAAAAAGGTCTCGCGCCAAATAAGAAACCTACAGCTAAGAAGATGAAGTAAGTGTTGTTGCACAGCAGCAGAACTTGTGCACAAAGATTACCTTCAATTGTGCAGCATTTACCAGATACGTTATCTTTGGGGCCTTTGATGTTTGCAGATGCAATGATATTTGCAGTAATTCAGTTATTCTCAATATTCGCAGACCCAAGCTCACTCATAAAGGACCTCCGAGCGAAAGAAACAGCACAAAGTCTGGCAAGTCAGTCACTAAGAGCAACAGATCCCTCATTTCAAGGTAAGTCCATCTCCGATGGCATAATCACTATAAAATCACGGTAAAACGACACCGATCAGGCATAACTTTATGACCACCTCCTCGTTTCTACACTCATTGTCCATTTTATCAGCTCCACTTACTATATAGGTGCACTTTGTAGTTCTACAGTTACAGACTGTAGTCCATCTGTTTCTCTGATACTTTGTTAGCCCCCTTTTACCCTGTTCTTCAGTGGTCAGGACCCCCATGGACCCTCACAGAGCAGGTACTATTTGGGTGGTGGGTCATTCTCAGCACTGCAGTAACACTGACGTGGTGGTGGTGGTGTGTTAGTGTGTGTTGCGCTGGTCTGAGTGGATCAGACACAGCAGTGCTGCTGGAGTTTTTAAACACTGTGTCCACTCACTGTCCACTCTATTAGACACTCCTACCTTGTCAGTCCACCTTGTAGATGTAAAGTCAGAGACGACGCTGGACGCTGTTGGCTGGATATTTTTGGTTGGTGGACTATTCTCAGTCCAGCAGTGACATTGAGGTGTTTAAAAACTCCTGTAGCACTGCTGTGTCTGATCCACTCGTACCAGCGCAACACACACTAACACAGCACCACCACGTCAGTGTTACTGCAGTGCTGAGAATGACCCACCACCCAAACAGTACCTGCTCTGTGAGGGTCCATGGGGGTCCTGACCACTGAAGAACAGGGTAAAAGGGGGCTAACAAAGTATCAGAGAAACAGATGGACTACAGTCTGTAACTGTAGAACTACAAAGTGCACCTATATAGTAAGTGGAGCTGATAAAATGGACAATGAGCGTAGAAACAAGGAGGTGGTCAGAATGTTATGCCTGACCGGTGTATATTTTATTGCTGTTGTCTCTGATTACTGCTATCTTAACACCACATGTTATTACACAGATTATTAGAAAATGCTGAAATCTCAAATCAATACTTGCCAAAACAGAGCTACTGCAGTAAGACAAGCCTTGAGATAATGAAGCTACATTGCTATGCACCGACTGGCCACTTTATTAGAAACACTGTCACCTACATAGATCAAGCTTGCTGGTATACAGTTTGAGACTGTAGGCTGGGGGTCTCAAACTCAAATTATCTGGGAGCCACTAGCTGGGGGTCTTCTCTACTTTACCTAATGTTGTAAACTAAAATATCGCTGTTGTCGGAAGAAAACCTCGTATCTCCAAAATGGTAACTTTACAGGAGAAGGAAAAAAACTACTTTGCTTTTAATGTGAGTCAATGGAACCAGACTTTTTTCCAAGTCATTTTAGACTGTTTCTATTGGTCCGTTCTTAATGAAATCTACACACAATGTAAATGTTAACAGGCGTTTTCAAATTATGTCAAAAACTGAAAAACCACCAATCAAAAATTGAGATACGAGATTTCTTCGGACAGCAGCGATACGAGTCCTGTGTTTTTCAATAATGTCCTATATTTGTGTGTGAATTTTAACTACATATAAGAGATGCGCTCATTTAAGTGCATCTTAGTTTGTGTTTATTAGCAATTCTTCCTTCATCAGAAATATTAGTAGTACATTTCGTGTTTTAGAGCTCAATTACAAGTCTGTAACTCTGATCAGCTCTCAGCTTCATTATTAGAGCGAGACGAAGGAGAAAAAGGTGAGATGAGCTGCTTTTCCACCGTTTACAGGTTTTAACTTCTGTTCGGTGCTGCTGCCATGGTAACGCTGAATGATGGCGCAACGCAGTGGAAAAAAGCACATGAATTCTGATCTGAGCGTCACATTAAGGTCTCATGGCCATGAAATCAGATACTTATCCGATCTAGGACCACATATAAAAGTGGCTCAGGTCAGATTCGAAAAGATCAGATTTGTGTCCACCCAGCCCTGAAAACATCAGATCTGAGTCACATTAGGGCAAAAAATTGGATTTGTGCCACTTCAGCCTGGTAATGTGAACGTAGCCTGTGTGTCGGGCCGTATGAAGTTGTCTCCCATCTGCTGCCACTTCTATTTACCATCCTCTAGTCTTTCATCATTAGTCAGTTTCTGACCACAGAATAGAGATCTGCGTGGGACCACTCTCACCTGCTCCTGCAAGATTTCCCGTAGAAAATTTGCACCATTTGTCCGGCTCCTGCCCACAATCTAAACATTTCTTCCCGCTTTCCTGTAGCTGGCTGATTAGTTTGCATTAGTCATGACTGAAAACGACTGCCACATGTCGGACTTGCCTTTAGTCAGCTTAATTGTATTTGCAATAAACCTTGTATTGTGTTCGCCTCTCTGAGGAGCACTTCCCACAGCTGTGGCCACCTGACTGTCTGAAGCTCCGTCATCTCTAGAAAAATGCAATAATTTTTCGTAATCTTGCTGCAGGACTTCTCTACATGTTTGTGTTGTCCTGCTCCCACCTGCTCCCGTTCGTGACACTGAAAATTATCCCCCCACTGGGAGATATGGTTGGGTCCCAGGTGGTAATGCAGACCTTTACCACAGAACCACTTTAGGTTGGATGTATTTTGTTTTTGCGGACCACTTTCAACCTAGCAGTGACACGGACGTGTGTAAAAACACCACCAGGCCACATACACTCATACTTGCATTACACACTTCCGTACCACTACTGTGTCAGTGTTGGGTTTGGAATGATCCACCCCCCAAATAACATCTGGTTAGCAGCTGTCTTGTGGTCAGAGACTGACCAATGATGAATAAGGTAGACGGTGGCTAGCAGGTTGTCCATGACAACAGCTGTTCTGCACTCTAATTGTACACCTTAATAGTCGAGCTAGAAGGTAGGTGTATCTCATAAAGTGGCCAGGGAGTGGAAGTATGAGGTAGGTGTTTCCAAGTGGATGGTCGTTGCATGTTTTAGTGGTAAGCAGTCTGTTTTTTCGTGTTGTTTGAGAACCTCAGACACTTAGTAAAGGTCATTGTAATGCTTAAAGGTGTAATACAGTTTCAGGTGTGTAATCTTGCCGCCTCTGCTCTCCCCTCTCGCCTTCCAGGCCTAAGCTGAAGAATGTAGACCGGAGCTCAGCTCAGCAGTTAGCCATAACAGTGGGCAATGTGACTGTCATCATCACAGACTTTAAGGAGAAGACTCGTTCCTCCTCCACCTCCTCCTGCACTGTGACCTCCAGCGCTGGCTCCGAACAGCAGCATCTGAGCTCCAGCTCCGAGAGCACGGATAAGGGCTCCTCCCGCGCCTCCACGCCACGCCGAGACCTCTCCTCCGGACACAATGAAGTCCTGTGACAGGGTGGAGGCCCAGAACCCTTACTCTCACCTTTACGATGCACACATATAACTTATACTCATAAAAGGATGAAGGATCATTGTCATGCATGGAGACCGTTTCCATCTTGATATTCTGCCACAAGCTGCTCTGTGGTTTGACAGACATTTCCCTGAGAGAACTGTAGATTCATATTTCGTGGAGTCAGCATTATTGAGTGGAAGAAGTTGAAACCCACTGTATATGTTGAGCCTTAGATCTCCGGTTTTGCATATTTGTTTTTTTTTCTCAACTGGAAAAGTCGCCCGTATGGCTTAGATGATTCTCCAACACTCATTCAAACAATATTTGATGTATATGTTGGTTAGAAGGCTTCACAGTTGTGAGAGCACCATATTGTAGCACCGAGAGGCAGGCACTTGCTTTTTATTTCTCCTAGTAATCCCTGTAAACATAGACTGCCACAATAAGGACAAATTATACATCACATGGTAGTGATAGTAACATACATTAGAAGTACAAACTAGGTGTGTCAATTGGAAACATTTTGGGGACATTTTCACCTGGAAAATGTTTACGTATAAATTAGAATCAGTGGCACCAACATTTAACAGCATTTTCTAAATACAACCCCATTTCCGAAAAAGTTGAGACGCTGTGCAGAATGTAAATAAAAATAGGATGCAATGATATGCAAATCATGTAAACCATATTTTTAAGGGAAAATACTACAAAGACAACATATCAAATGTTGAAACAGAGAAATTTTATTGTTTTTTGAAAAATATATGCCCATTTTGAATTTGATGCCATCAACACGTTCCAAAAAAGTTGGGACGGGGGCCTGTTTACCACTGTGTTTCACCACCTCTTCTATTAACAACACTCTGTAAGTGTTTGGGATCTGAGGAGACACTGCTGTAGTTTTGCAAGTGAAATGTTTTCCTGTTCTTGTTTGATACAGGATTTCAGCTGCTCAACAGTTCAGGGTCTCCTTTGTCATATTTTTCATTTCATAACCCTCCAAATGTTTTCAGTGGTGACAGGTCTGGACTGCAGGGAGGCCAGTTTAGCGCCCGGACTCTTAATACAGAGCAATGCTGCTGTAATACATGCAGAATGTGGTTTGACGTTGTCTTGCTGAAATAATCAAGGCCTTCCCTAAAAAAGACGTCGTCTGGATGGCAGCATATGTTGCCAAAACATGTATATATCATTCAGCATTAATGGTGCCTTCACAGATGTGCACATCACCCATGTCATGTGCACTAATGCCCCCCTACACCACCATGAATGCTGGCTTTTGAACTGTACAGTGATAACAAGCTGAGTGGTCTTTATCCCAGAGGACACAGTGTCCATGATTTCCAAAAAGAATTTCAAATGTTGATTCGTCGGACCACAGGACACTTTTCCACTTCACCTCAGTCCATTTTAAATGAGCTCGGGCCCAGAGAAGGTGGCAGCATTTCTGGATCCTGTTTATATATGATTTCCTCTTTGCGTTTTAGAATTTTAACTTGCATTTTACTTGCATTTAAGTGTTCCTGAGCCCATGCAGTGATTTCTACTACAGAACCATGTCTGTTTTTAATGCAGTGCCACCTGAGGGCCCAAAGATCATGGTCAGCAAATACTGGTTTTTGGTCTTGTCCATCACATACAGAGATTTCTCCAGATTCTCTAAATCTTTTAATGTTATTATGTACCGTAGACGATGAAAAGCAAAAGTTCTTTGCCATTTTGCGTTGAGAAATGAATTGTTGTACTATTTGATGGTGCAGTCTTTCACAGAGTGGTGAACCCCTCCTCATCTTTACTTCTGAAAGACTCCGCCTCTCTGAGATGCTCTTTTATACCCAATCATGTTATTGACCTGTTGCCAATTAACCACCAGGTTTTTTTTTTTTAAGCATTACACAACTTTACCAGGCTTTTGTTGCCCCCATCCCAACTTTTTTGGAACATATTGTTGGCATCAAATTCAAAATGGGCAAATAATTTTCAAAAAACAATAAAATTTCTCAGTGTCAACATTTGATATGTTGTCTTTGTACTATTTTCAATTAAATATAGGGTTTAAATGATTTGCACATCATTTGCATTTTGTTTTCTGCACAGCGTCCCAACTTTTTTGGAAATGGGGTTGTAATAAGACAGTTCAGCAATTTTCAAAGTATTTTCTGTAAATGAATCACTAATCAAAACCCACAGTCTGTATATCGGGGAGCATTCTTACAAATGCTATTGCTAATTGATTGGCTGTTACAGAGCTTTTTACGTGACACTTGGTCACACTTGACTTTTATTAGTAAGCAACAATCAGAACTTCGTCCACTTCTTCATTGCCTCAAAGCATCACAAATCTATTGATGTGATCTTTTTAGATGAAATGTTTTATTAGTGTATTTATTTTGTGCAAGCAATTCTGTTCTTGTGTACGATAGGTAACCTTAATTTACTATGTAAAGATGGTTACATATAATGAATACTTGTCTTAATATGGATTATCCCTTTGTTTATTTGTGGTGTATTGTATTTTACACAGTTCCTTTCTTGTACCTGGCATATATCAATAATTGTGTGTTAAAACATAGCTATTATCACATGCACTATTTCTCTCAATGCTGCTTGGTCATTTCCTCAGACTTAACGTCTGTACTGATGAATTCTGCTTGTAGCCTAGTCTTCATTTCAAATAAAGTTACCACATTTGTTTGATCCGACATCTTCCAGACTTTCTACCTATTGTCATGTGATGTTGAGACCACTCTGAAAACCAGTAACTCAACATTGCTACGGCTGTTGACCCTGAAGGAATCTTATCACCATCACCAAAAGAGATTTCAGCCAAATGCTCTGCCTAGATCTGAGAGAAGATACTATCCTGGGGCAGCGTGTAGTACAGGGGTGCACAACTGTGGTCCTGGAGGGCTGGTGTCCAGTACAGTTTGGAGGTTTCCCTACTTAAACATGCCTACTAAACCTGTCAGTTAACAGATTAAATGCAGTCAGGTGTGTCTTAGTAGGGAAATCACCAAACTCTGCTGGACACCAGCCCTCTAGGACCAGAGCTGTAGTAGAACCCTTCTCTGCTGATTCAGGGTGCTTTTCAGACAGGGTGTTTAATTAATCAATAAAATTGTAAATGATAAACAAATTCTTTACTGTAACTAGTTTTTTTTTTATTTGAAAAATAACTAGAAAGCTATATTTTATGGTTAAACCTCAAATATAAACGTATAACACAACAAAACTTATTTCTTTTACGTGCTAGTATTTTGAAATCGCCTGACCTTGGAAGGCCTCCATTCCTCCAGCTGCCCACTTCACTCCTATTACCGTTGGGAAGTTCGAGTCAGTTTCTCGAACCGATTCTTTCGTTTAAGCGAATCGAATGTCCGATTCAGCGACCAACCACAGCCATTTGGCTACTGCTGAGGCTTCCCATTCGCCCACTTCTTGTTCGAATTTTCCCGTTCCACCTTAAATTTTGCAGCAGTTACACCCTCAGGCGCCACAATGTAACTTCTGCACTGTTTAAAGTGGAACGGGAAAATTCGAATAAGAAGCTAACTTCTAGTACTTGTAGATATCATTCGACATTTACTACAGTCGTTTGGCCTGCACCGCTTGACCGACAGGTCAGTAAACACTGTCCAGGTTCCACAAACAAGTTAAATTAATTTGGAGTGAATCGGTTTGACCGATTTCTGGAAAAGAGTCGGATCAATAGAACGATTCATTTCTGAGTCGACTCCTGTTCCAGCGCGCCTTTGTTGCTGCCGCTGTTATTGTTGTTGTGCGGGTGACGCGGCGGACTGGCCGGCCGAGCCGCGCATGAGTCAGCGCCACTGTGAAGGTCGCTCGCTTCGGATGTGGTCACTAAAACTCTTCAATCTCTGACGATAACCCCGGATTAAATTCTAGTTATCTGAAGCGCGAAAAAATGGCGGTTCCCGCAGCCCCGAACCTGCAGCTGAACGCGGGGAGACAAAGCGGCAGCCCGGTCGACTCCTCCGACAACAACATCCACATCGACGAGAAGGAGCTGGAAAACATCACGAATCACGTCGAGGACGGCACGTCGCTCCCTCTTCACTCTCCGTGGACTTTCTGGCTGGATAGGTAACGTCACGCCGCCGTTCGCGGCCGCCAACACGCCTCTAACAGCCTCCGTTTTTTGCGATGAAACAAGTTTGGAGTCTCCCCCGGTTGGTTCACCTAAAGCCCGCTAACGAAGGCTGGCCGAGCGGCTCACCGAGCAGGCTAATGTTTTTAGCCAGCATGCTAAGCTAGGCTAACCGAGTCATCCGATGTCCTCAGACCTCTCAAAGCGCTTTATTTCACTATGTAAAGTGATAGAAATGCCAGAATGGTGGGCTTAATGTTCGTATAACATACTGAAGTCAGCTTTATGACAGCCGGATACGTAGAAAGACCACATTATAGGTTATTGCTCGCTGTTTCCATTCGCTCTCCCGCTGCCAGACCGGCTAGCCAGCTAGCGACGATCATAGAAGTAGGTCGAGCTGTGCGTCACCTGCTCGCCTAGCTAACCTAGTTACCTGACGGCCTCCACAACTTTTTTAGTGCTATAAACTGAAATAAAAGGCCAGGCTGGCTTTTAACAAACATACATGATCGCTTTCTGATTATTTAGGACCTCGTTAATAAAGCGAGCTTTCCACCTTTCTGGAACACAAACCGTATAGTTTGATCTCCGTTGCATAAACAGCAGCATTAGCCTACTTTTTAACCAGAGCTGGGCAGTAGGTCGATTTATCGTGATGAATTATATCACAATATATCACGGTATTCTTTTCTGGGTGTATCACCGGTACTTAAAAGTCACATCTGAACTGCGTGTTTGATTAGAGTTGGTATTATTAGTGTTAGTCCTGTTTGTTTGGGTTTAGTGCAGCACAGTGTCTGAAGTGTTGAATACAGGTACTTGGATCTATAGTTGTTGATGGTATTTTTAAAATGTGTCACTGTTTTGTCTGTTCTAACTGAAAACGTCAGAAAATTATTGTTAAATCATAAAAAAATTCCTGAAGTATTGTGATATACTACATGTTCGCCGTATCACTTGTGTATATATATATTTTTTTATATATATTTTTATTTTATTTGAGGAACAATACAGAGAAAAAAAAGAATGGCAAACAACAAACACAACAACGAACAGTCCCCAACAGCTCAATTCACTGGAGACCTCTAAAAAGGATTTTTAACCCACTCTTGTTTACTAGTTTGTTGTTTTTTTTAAATACATATCACACACCACTTTGTCACGTTAATGCCCATTTTTAATTATTCTATAATCTCTTCTTCCTTCTAAGGTTTCCTTTCATTTGCATTGTAGTTTGGCTGTAATCTCTTGTAATCTTTGTCCTTGTGTTCAGCTGGGATTACAAAAGCAAGGTCGTCCATAGCGTAATATTTCAGAAATGAGCACTAAACTCAAAAAAAACATTATTGCTTAAACTTTACTGCACTAATTTTGAATTCAGAAATAAAATATGTGAATAACAGCTGAAACAGGCTGTGCATTTAACCTTTTCAACTCCCTGAGACCACCGGTGGTTCCAAAACGCACTTCGTCATATTCTTCATAACTTTCATATTTCATAAGCTACATTCTAAAGATGGGGGTCGTATGAGAGCTGTAACTGTCTTCTTTCCAGTCAAATAGATGGGTGATGTCATTTCAAACCCTTATAATAAAAGAAGCTGAACTCACAATTTTTGTTCTACTGAAAGTCGACCCATTTTTCCACAAATCTGGGCTATAAACTATAAACAGATGGCGTCTCTTCAGTGATCTGCTCTGTAAACATTATTTTTATAAAATAATACAAAGAGTGTCTAAGATTTTTGGCTTTCAGCAGTAAATTCTGAGAATATAGCAATATGTGTGATCATAAAACCCATGTTCTGTTAATTTGAGGGGAGCTTTTACAAAAAATAAATAAAATAAAAATGTAAATTCATTTCATGCAGTTACTGAATTTTTTGCTTTACGATTCGGGCAGATGGAAAAACCAAAATATACTCTGGTCAATAAGAGGTTATTTTGATGTTGCTACAGACATTTAGGCGAGAAGGTTGTTAAATGGCAGGGGTTGAAGTCCTGTTTGCTTTTCGAATGAACTGCTCACAGTGGTGAACAAAACAACTTTTATTCCTCAACAAAGACAGGACAGATTATGCAGATTAACTGGTTACACTGGTCGATATCAGTTATTGCAGGGTTGATGTCATAAAAAACCTTTTGTCTATTGATATCACAAGTAAGTGCGAGGTATTTCTCCAATGCTTACACATCTCTGTTTGCTTATGTTTTTATTTCTGACTTCCAGGTCATTACCAGGGACGACAGCAGCAGAGTGTGAATCAAATCTGAAAAAGATCTACACAGTGCAGACAGTCCAGGTAGGCACTGTTAAGTTCACTGTTAAATGAGTGGATCAGACACAGCAGTGCTGCTGGAGTTTTAACCACCTCAGTGTCACTGCTGGACTGGACCATTCTTCAGATCTGTACATCCTCAGCTGTGCAACTGTACAAATCCTTCATTGTCATATTTTGAGCTTAATAATAGCACCACTGTAACTCCCACACCCTCTGATTATGCAGCCCTGCTGTTATAACGCATGCAGAAAGTAACCTGCTGTCGTCATGTTAAAATAAGAATGGGCGTCCCTGAAAAAGACGGCGTCTAGAAGGCAGCATATGTTGCTCCAAAATGTGTTCACAGGTGCTTTCACAGATGTTACCCACCGATACCCCCTCATATCATCACAGATCCTAGATTTGGAACTTTATACTGGATGATCCTTTTCTTCTTTGGCCTGGAGAACATGATGTCCATTGTTTTCATAAACAACAAGTCTAAAAGGTTGACTCGTCAGACCACAGTACATGTTTCCACTGTGTATCAGTCCATTTCAGACGGCAGTCGGCTGCGTTTCTGGACGTTGTTGATGTTTGGCTTCCACTGTCTGCGTTTGTGGATGCAGCAAGGAATATTCTTTATTGACAATGGTTTGTCAAAGCATTCCTGAGCCTATGTGATGACATCCATCACAGAAGCTTGCTGGTTTTTAATGCAGTGCAGTCTGAGGGATGAAAAGTCGTGAGTGTTCGTTGTAGATTTCTCCAGATTCCCTGACTGTTTTGATGACACTGTGCACTGTAGAGGATTAAATACCTAAAATTCTTGCTGAGGAATGTTATTTTTGAAGTGTTGATCCATTTTTGGTGGTCAGCCTCGACCCATCCTTGCTCATAAAGAACAAGACCTTTCCTGGATGTTCCTTTTATACCCAAGCATAATTGCGTCACCTGTTAAAGAAGTTTTTTGAACATTTCTCAATGTTTCTAGTTTTAAATCGCCTCATCCCAAATATTTTGCAATGTGTTTCAGGCATGAATTTCAGAGTAAGTGTATATTTATAAAAAGCAGTTAATTTGAGAAGATGAAACATGTTATATCTTGTCTTTGTACTGCTTTTGTTTAAATATACATGTCAAAAAATAGATTCAGAAATCACTGCTTTCTGGTTTTATTTACAATTTGCCTTCTGTTCCAACATTTTGGAATTGGGTTTGTGTGTTGAGTTGTGCGTCGCCTGCACATCGCTCAACACCTATTTACTAACCTGATGGGCTTCATGATATGCTACAAATCAAAACAAAGGGCCAATTTGGTTATTTACAACTCTAATGTTTCACCTCCTAAGCACCCTGTTATTTTTATATATATATATATATATATATATATATACACTCACACACACACAGGCATAACATTATGACCACCTCCTTGTTTCTACGCTCATTGTCCATTTTATCAGCTCCACTTACTATATAGGTGCACTTTGTAGTTCTACAGTTACAGACTGTAGTCCATCTGTTTCTCTGATACTTTGTTAGCCCCCTTTTACCCTGTTCTTCAGTGGTCAGGACCCCCATGGACCCTCACAGAGCAGGTACTATTTGGGTGGTGGATCATTCTCAGCACTGCAGTAACACTGACGTGGTGGTGGTGTGTTAATGTGTGTTGTGCTGGTCTGAGTGGATCAGACACAGCAGTGCTGCTGGAATTTTTAAACACTTCAGTGTCACTGCTGGACTGAGAATAGTCCACCAACCAAAAATATCCAGCCATCAGCGTCCTGTGGGCAGCGTCCTGTGACCACTGATGAAAGACTAGAGGATGACCAACACAAACTGTGCAGCAGCAGATGAGCTATCATCTCTGGCTTTACATCTACAAGGTGGACTGACAAGGTAGGAGTGTCTAATAGAGTGGACAGTGAGTGGACGCAGTGTTTAAAAACTCCAGCAGCACTGCTGTGTCTGATCCACTCAGACCAGCACAACACACACGAACACACCACCACCACGTCAGTGTTACTGCAGTGCTGAGAATGACCCACCACCCTAATAGTACCTGCTCTGTGAGGGTCCATGGGGGTCCTGACCACTGAAGAACAGGGTTAAAGGGGGCTAACAAAGTATCAGAGAAACAGATGGACTACAGTCTGTAACTGTAGAACTACAAAGTGCACCTATATAGTAAGTGGAGCTGATAAAATGGACAATGAGCGTAGAAACAAGGGGGTGGTCATAATGTTATGCCTGACCGTTGTATGTGTATATATGTGTATATATATCTGTTCTGTCCTTTTTTATTCCTGTTTTTTTTTCCTTTCTACCTTTTAAACAGAGCTTCTGGAGTGTGTACAACAACATACCCGCAGTGTCTTACCTCCCTTTGAGGTGTAGCTACCACTTAATGCGAGGAGAACGAAGACCACTATGGTAAAGTTTTTAAATCTTTTTAAATATTGCATGTGGTCACTGTCAGAACGATACACTACCGTATATGGCCAGGAGTATGTGGCAGAGTTTGGGGGCCGTATTGCAAAACCTCTTAACTTTGAACTCTCATCTTATCTGTTTAGTCACCATGACAACTTCAGTTAGGACTGAATTTAGGACAGAAGCTATTACAGAACAACAGTTCTTAAGTTCACAATCTTATCCGAACTCCAGATACAAAAACAGTATTACAGAGACGTTCTAACTAGACTAAATTTCCTAAATTCAGTCCTGGCTTTAAAGACAACTCTACAAGTGTCTTAACATCTGTTTTGACCATCTGTTCCTATTGTTTTATGCAGTGTATTAACATTGATGAAAACTCATCAAATAACATTACAGTGATGTGGGTGAATAATGAGGGGACAGAGATCGTGTTGATGTTTATTAGAATAATGTTAGTGTGGTTGGCCCAAGGATTTGGGAACTGAAACTGAGTCCGGGGAGCAGCAACGTCCTGATAAACAGCACCAAGCGGCTCCCGAGTGGCGCGACCGTCTAAGCGTTGGCCCTTTCATCAGGAGATCGCGAGTTCGATCCCTGGTGATGCTACAGCCGTCCGTAGCCGGGAGTCCGAGAGAGCACAACTGGCCTCGCTCTCTCTGGGTGGGTAGGATGGCCCCTCCTTCTCCCCCCATCACTCAGCGCGATGCTAGTCAGCGCAGGCGTCTGTTAGCTGACGTAACAGATCTGGCGGTTGGCGCTTTCCTCCGAGCGCGTTCGGCTGTACAGTGACGTTGCGTGAGCGGCATTTAGAAAAGAAATGGTGGTTTCACAGGTCTCGGAGGAAGCCTGTGTTAGCCTTCATCCTCCTAGCGTTGGTAGTATCGTGACGTTGGGGGAGTCCTAACTAGCGGGTGGAATTGGCGACGACTAAATTGGGGAGAAAATCGGGTTAAAATCCATAAAAACAGCACAAAGCGCTGTCAAAATTTCTGACTTCAATTTATCGTGCTTCAGTTTGGTTTGACCCTTTTAACATCAGATAAAGGTACCAGAGTAATGGTGTCAAGCCGTCTGACTGCCTTATTTTGATAACGTGTGCGTATGGTCGGTTGCTAGATAACAGACATGACAGTTGACAGTCAACTTTGGTCGAGTAGGTTAAGATTTGCAAACTTGAGATAAGATGCTGTAGGATAAGATTCCTTAATTAAGATTTGCTTATCTAATACGAATTTGTATAAAATCTTATCCCGACCTGCCAGAAAGATACGTCGCCAGGTTTTTAAGCCACACTCTTTGCTAAAAGGTGTATAAGATCAAGCACGTAGCCGTGCAGTTTCCATAGGCAGACACTGTCAATAGAATAGTCACACTGAAGAGCTCAGAGACTGTAAACATGGTGCTGCCATAGGATGCCACCCAAAGTCAGGCTGTGAAATTTTTGCCCTGCTAAATCTGCCCCAGCCAGCTGTAAGTGCTATTATTGTGAAACGACAGCGTCTAGGAGCAAAAGCTCAGCCACAAAGCGGTAGACCACACTCACAGAGCGAGGCTGCGGAGTGCTGAAGTGCATAGTAGGGGTGGGGAAAAAAATCGATTCTTAAGTGCATCACGAAGCAGACATGGACGATTCTGAATCGATTCAAAAACGTCAAAAATTGATTTTCTACATTTTTATTGTTAACGCAGTGTTGGAACTTTGCAAAGTGCGGAAGTGCAGCACCTGGACAGTCTGTGACGTGCACACTACATTAAAAGCTAGTGCAGGGGTCACAACCCAAATGTTGATGAGAGTCATGTAGTGTAGGCTAAAAATATAATACAAACGGAAACGCAGACTTATTTTGCTCTACTTTAAGCTTCAGCTCAGCTGTAGCCACTTTTCTTGCATCACCAGCTGGAAACCTTTCCCCAAAAGTAGAACAGTTTCTTGTAAAATGTTAGCTTTATTTTACTGCTGAGGAGGGTTATTTTATTTTTACCTAGAAATCTAATTCTGATGTGGAGCCGTAACCGGCCAGTAAAAGACGTTGTCGACCCTTGAGCTAGTGTATTGGCTTCTGTGGAGTTGAGGGGGAAAACCATATAACATGTTTCCATCCATTTTCTGCCCAGTTGTAGTTGCTGCCAACCAGAGGACCATCGATAAAGCGATGTCAAAGCTTCCACCCAACTCGGAAAGGGCGAAGCGAACTACAGACTCTGTCGCAACTTTTATTGCCAAGGAATTGCGTCCGTACTCAGTCGTTGAGAACCAGGGATTTCACGCTATGTCGATACAGAGCAGTGAATGAGAGCCTTCTGGTTCACTTGTCACATCACTTCCATTTGATTTATTAATAAAAGATATTGGAAGTAAATTCAATTATGGATCATTACAAATACTTTGCTTTAATAGTTCCAAGTCGTCACACAGTGAGGAAAAAAAAGAAATCCTGTATAGAAAAAAAGTTGCATTGAGATGCATCGATAATCATTTTATAATCGCATCGCAGCCTCTGAATCGTAATCGAATCGTGAGGTGCCTAGAGATTCCCACCCCTAGTGCATAGCATTTAAATTGTCATTTCTTTGTTGTAAAATGCCTCTGGAAGCAACATCAGCACAAGAACTGACATTGTTGTAAGTGGAAGTTAAAAATAATGTAAAAAGGTTCGACGTGGGACGCTTAAAAAATGGGCTCAGCGCGATTTTCCGACATGGTTAGCTAACCACAGAATCGTTCAGTGGGATAACATGACATCATAGCTGATCGCCGATTGGTTTTGCGCTTATGTCGGTATTGTGCCACCGCTTCCTGCTGCCTAATTTCAAACCCAGAAATAATCAAATAAGTTCAGTTTGCTCAGACGGGACAGCACATAAATGAAAGCAGTGCATAATTTTAAATCCACCATTCAATAAACACCAGTGTCTTAATGTTAAAGTGCTGCTAACCAGGAGAGAGTAGCTCAGTTAGTGTGCTACCAGCTCTGTTTACCACAGAACAGGTTCTGACTAACAGATGTTTTCCTGACAAGTTTAAATGATAATGACTCGAATCTGAGGAAGCGAAGTCGAGCGGCTGGTGTTAGAGGGACAGAAAGCTGAAGTATAAACCTGTTCTGTGGTGTTTGAAGCTGTAGCCTCCTAGCAAAGCTAATGCTACCCTGTTCCTCAACTAACTGGCACGCTGCCATCACAAGTATAGATGATCAAAAAACTTAAAAGCGAGAACAAAGTCGACTGATTTGGTGTTGGAGTGCCAGAAAGCTGAAATTGGTTCAATTTAAATGTTTAATTTTTTTTTTTTAATGTTAGATGTTTAAAATGTGTCTTAAAATTGTGTCTCTGTTTGACATGTAGGGAGGAGGAAAGTAATGCAAAGGGAGGTGTGTGGAAGATGAAAGTACCAAAGGAGAGCACAGTAAGTTTTGTTTGCTTATAAAGAGTGATTCAAAAAGATTCATCCGATTTCAAAGCGCCATATTTTTACAACCGTGAGGCGCTTAGGAACCAATCACAATCCAATAGAAAGAGGGGGTCATAGAGTTTTTGACGGTCAGTGGAAGATGGCTCCCTTCAGTCTGAGAGGAGATGAGACCCCTGAGCAGAAAGCGTTCTGCGTTCTCCACTTCAATAAGAGTGAATCCGTCATAACTGTGCAGAGTGATTTTCGTGGTCAGTGAAGCTCCAACAGCTCAGAGCGTTCGTCGTTGGTTCCACAACACTGGATGATCTCCGAAATCGCACTGAAAGAGCCGTGAGTGCAGCGACACCCGACACGCTCAATCCAGTATGGGATGAGTTTGACTATGGTGTTGATGTTGTCTGTACAGCTGGAGGAGGTTCAGACTGAGACCTTCTACAATTACATAATAAACTTTATGCTCATTTAAAACATTTACAGTTCACTGAATTGATCTGTAATGATTTACAAGTGAAATAAATCGTAAATCTTTTTGAATCACCCTGTATTTCTGATGTATGGAGATCAAAGGTAAAATTGTATTGAACACACACTGAACAGTACATTGCTCCCACTGTTTTTACCTAAAGTTTTATGTCATGTCATACTTGTATTGATCTCTGTACACTTTGTCTCTTCTTTGTTTGCCAGTCTGCTGTATGGAAAGAATTGCTGTTGGCTACTATTGGCGAACAGTTCACTGACTATTGTGCGTCAGGTGAGTCGTGTCCGTGAACGAGAAACAGCTTTTATAATGTTTACATTTGAGTTAATGTGAAATAAATATGATACCATTCCCAATCATTGCTTTCTTTCAGAGGATGAGGTTGTTGGTGTCAGCGTCAGCGTGCGAGACAGAGAGGACGTCGTCCAGGTTTGGAATGGAAACGCATCTTTTGCTAACGAGGCGAACATCTTAGGAAGAATCTACGAGCTACTTCCACAGATCTCTTTTAAAGCAGTATTTTATAAGCGTAAGTTATATACAAATATACTCTTGCATTGTAATTTGCCGTGTCATCGTAGCCCACGAGTTTACTTTTGCTGCTTGATAGTGGTCGTTACAGTGCCATTAAAACTGTACACAGAGGATTTTAATAGATTTATGGCTGGATGGATCTTTATTGATCCCAAAGGGATATTCCAGTGTTACAGTAGCAAGATGTATAATTGCACATAAACTTAAACATACTATGCAGAAATAAAATAGGAGTAAAAAATGCCATAAAATAGGCAAAAATAGACATAAATTAGAGTAAAATATGAAAGAGTAGGAATAAAAGTATATCTATTGCATATTTACGTAGCATATAAGACAGATTTGTTGCATTTACATGAGAGCAGGTATTGCACTGAGTGGTATGAGGTCTTTTTAACCACTAAAATTGAAGCCTAAACTGCAATAAATGTAATCGGCAAAGCCTGTTTAGAACAGTTAATAACAGGCATCTGTTACCAGTCACCATAGGCAAACACTGGCAAAAGGTAGGGCTGTATGTATCTGGGCTGGGTTCCCCAGTAGCACATTAGCATGTAGATGATTCTTAAATGATAGAGCGAGCATCACAGTGAACACTCTCTCTACAAGTTAAGATCAATCAGTCAGCCTTAATTTAACCTCGGGGAACATTGAGGGTGACCCTCATTCACAGTGTTGCTGAGTTGATACAGAGCAAGGGATTGATAATGTGTAAGAACATTTCAAATAATAAGTAAAGTTAATTAAGAAAATGACTCAAATCAGGTAAGTATAAAAAAATTAAACATTAATAATAAAAATATATGAAAATATTGTAGGAAATATAAAACAATAATTAAAATGTAGCTAAAATGTAAAAGTTAATAAAATAAAATCAAAATAAAAGGAGAATAAGATCAAAAAGTAAACTAAAAATTGATGAACTTGGCACTAAGATGCTTTTGGGAAACTGGGCCCTGTTTGATATGAGACATAGAGAACACAAGTAACAGCTTTTTTGTGGGTCTTTTCTGCAGGATGTTGTAGAATATTTACTGACATAGCAGTTTGCATGAGATTAATCAAGCTGTTTCTGCAGTTTTATAGTAGGTAAAAGCTGCCGCTGTCATTACAGACAAGGGAGCAGGCAGTCCGTAAACATTACTCACGCAGCAGATCTGGACGGGACTCTGTATGCATTAGATGTCCTGATGGGCACTTTTCTGCCCATGTTCATCAAATTAGAATGACAATGCGATTTACGATTAGACTCCTAAAAATTGAAGACTGATAGATGGTTCTTGGCCAGGAGATGTTTTAGGAAAAACCAACTGGAATCAATTTTACATTACATATAGGTTCTTTAACCTTTAAAGGGTTCTTCAGACTCACATGTCCTATTTACAGTAATGACTCTTTAACACACAAGTCATTGAAAGGTTCTTTAGGGAAGTAAAAGTTGTCCTTCTATGGCAGAGGTGGCAACCCGAATGTTAAGAAGAGCCATTTTGTGTTTTCAACAAAAATCAAACCACTTTGGGAGCCACAACATTTTACGTCCATTTTACCATCTTGACTGTAAATATGTCTCAGTATGTGCTGACATCCTTTTATAGGCTACATAAGCTGCGGTCCAGAGCCTAGGCTGCATTTCTCGGCCACTACGTCACAGCAGGCCGTTCCAAAGTGAAGGATGCTTTGTATACAGCCTAGAAATGCAGCCTATGTTCTGGGTGATTTGAAGGATTTCAGAATCCTTCCGGGTCCTTTCTGGCCTTCGGTTACCCACAGTTTGTTGTGCACAAGCGACACGAAGGAGAAAAAAAACAGCACCACGAAAATGACAGAAGTTGTTGTAACAGAGCTGGTTTTAAAATGAAAATTGTTCACGTCCTTAAATTCGTCTTCTTTACCTTATAAAGTGTAAAACCACTGATTAATTAAGGAATTCGTCCATAGATCTTATTTTATTTAGAAGTATTTGTGTGTATGTAGTTTATTGTACTACATTAGAACATCTCTGTTTCCGTGAAGAAATGAAAAAAGCAACAAACTCAATGAAACGGGCTCCATTTTTTCTCACCAGTTCCCTCACGAGTTTGGTGCCGCTCTGGTGGCCTCACCACGCAGCCTCATTAGGACTGGTCCATTTGTGTGATCAATAGGCTGCTAAGGAGGAGTCTTCATAGGACAGTCCTACCGAGGACCCACACTACCTCAGCTGCAGCCTCGGCTTGTGGAACTGCTTTAAGCTTTAGCTCAGCTATAACTACTTTTCTCGCATCTCCGGCAGGAAAAGTGAAACTTTTTTTTATTGTATGTTTCTCAATATTCGACTTTTTACGAGGCTGAAGTCGCTTCTCATTCGCCGGCATCTTGTTCGAATTTTCCCGTTCCACCTTAAATGGTGCCTGAGGCGCCAGAATGTAACTGCTGTGCCATTTAAGGTGGAACAGGACAATTCGAACAAGAAGCTGACAAACGAGAAACTGACTTCAGCCTCGCGAGTTTTTAGTGTTTGACAGTTTCTCGTTGCAGATTAAACGAATCAGGAAACCAGCTGGAGTGTTTACAAACACACATTCGTCTCCAAATTAACGATGTCCGTCTTAAATCTCTCTCTTTATCGTTTCGTCAGCTACTTTTGTGCGCTGTTCTTCAGGGTTAAAGGGTTGAGACCATTTATTACTGCAAAGGAGGATTATTTTATTTTTACCTACAAATCTTGATTCTGCTGTGGAGCCAACAGGGCAGTAAAAGAGCCGCATGTTACCGCCACATAATCTATGCCATTATTCTTAAGGACCCTTTATTTTTAACAATAATAAAACACAGTGTCTTTATTCAAATCGAGAAGTGTAAGGATTGACAGAGTATTTAATTGCCACAATATTGAGAACGTATTCAACTTTTAATACATCGGGCAGTTCTGTACCTGACCTGTCCATGTGAAACTGTCCCTTCCAAATGCTTTAATGAATTTAATGTTTTGTTTTTTCTTCTTTCAGCACACGAGGAGCACCATGCATTCGAAGGTGGTCGTTCGAGACATTAGCAGGCTTTGCACATTCATCGGCTGTTATCTTTTCACTCTTTCGTTCTTGGACTGACCAGAGAAAACGGACTGAAAACAACAAATTAAATTTCGCCTGATCGGAAGCGCGCTGCCATTTTACCTTGCAGGAGCCGAACTATCCTATGTTAAAGCTCGATTTTGATTTTAGGTATTGCAGATGATCCCTGTGTGTTCTTGGCTAATAATTTTGAAGAGATTATTAGGCAATATCTATATAGTTCACATGCAAGTAGCAAGTGTAATATACACACACAGCAATGTTGCCATGGCTTTTTTTTTTTATTATTGTTATTTTTCCCCTTTTTTCTTTCAGTTCAAATGTTACCCAGCGAGATAATCGCTGCTTGTCAGGAACTTGACATTTCCACAACCAGGGTTTTGATGTCCTGTCCTTTAGGTTACTTATAGAGTAGTAGCTCTTATGCTTTTACGCAGACATGTTGCACATTATTTTAGACGAAATTTCCTTTTGATTTTAAACCTGAAAAGTGTTTGCCAGTGACGCCAGTGACTCCAGTGACTCTGGACCCCCCTGTTTTTCACAGTTTATTGGATTTTGTACTAAACGTAGCTCCTAGAACACGTTCTCGTCCTGGTCAGAGTCGTCCTAGAGGGCAGTTCATCGTCTAAATGCAGTTAGAATATTTTATTTTTCATAGTCTGAAAATACTAATCTGGAAAAAAACTAGGCACAGAATCGATTTTTTGAAGAAATTTTTTATGCATTTATGCTTAACAGCCACATTTTCATCAATCACTCTTGTCTTTTTATGCCAACGGTTGCTGTCCAAGTATTGTTCGATGCTTTATCATGTCCGAAATTAATGTTTACTGGTGAAATGTGTATTTTATGAGGGGGAGCTGGTGTGGATACGGTCAAATGATGACACTGACAAATACCCATGAAAACGTTTGGGCACTGGATGAATGTGTTTAGTTTTTTCTGTACCAAAGAGACCCCCCGCCCCCCCACACTCATGTTGTATTATGTAAACAGCCCCAACCCCCCCCCGCCCCCTTCCTGCCCTCGTCTCTGATTTGGTATGATCAGAACTGTGCAGTAGGAGCAATGGCTGCACCTTTGCCCTGTGAAACAACTAATACGTCTAATTAAGTCCATTAAGTTTTACGGTCTTTTTGTATATCCTGCCCGTTTTAAGCCGTCAGTTCTAGGCGTTTCTCTTGGTGTTAGTTTGTTCTTTTAACGTTGATTTGTCAAATGGAGTAACAAACTACAAGACGTAAATCACGACTGGGGTCTTTTATGTAACAATGCACTAGAAGCACAACTGTAAGTCTGTCCTCCTGATGGGCAAGGATGCAGAAAAGAGTCTGTACATGCAGCTGACCTTTCATATAGCAGCTTTTCCTATGTATTATAAATCTTTTTATGAGACGCAAGTACTGAAATGGATATTATTTTTCTGAGCAGGTTTTGTTCTTGTTGGTAAATCCAGGGCTCCCAGTCAGGATGTGAGACCTCAAACTGATTGTCAATCTTCTGGAACGGTGCCTTGTGTTCTCCCAGGGTTTCACTCATAGAATATTCTGTTTTATCTCTACGTATTTAATCGGTTATGATGTAAATTGATTTTGCTTATAGGTTTTGAAATATTGAATAAATAAGACAACTTTGGAGGATCTTGAACAGGTTTCATTTCTTCCCTTCACATATACACAGTTCATATATGTTCAAAAGTTTAGTAGCGCTTCTCATGTCACTAAGTACTGTTACATTATTCAGTAATAACTTTATACAGTTTAGATTGAGGTACTGTAAGCCAGACACCAGACAGTATTTTAATGTTTTTGAGAATCTCAAGAAGTTGTTAAATTTTATATATATATATATAAATAATATATTGTCCATTTTATCAGCTCCACTTACTGTATAGGTGCACTTTGTAGTTCTACAGTTACAGACTGTAGTCCATCTGTTTCTCTGATACTTTGTTAGCCCCCTTTTACCCTGTTCTTCAGTGGTCAGGACCCCCATGGACCCTCACAGAGCAGGTGCTATTTGGATGGTGGATCATTCTCAGCACTGCAGTAATACTGACGTGGTGGTGGTGTGTTAGTGTGTGTTGTGCTGGTCTGAGTGGATCAGTGTTTGTCTAATTTAAAAACAGTGGTTCCCAATTTTCGAACGATAGTGCATGTATGAGCATATGAAGGCTTAAAGGGGAATTCCACTGATTTTTCATAATTTCTGCATAATTAAATGGCTAAGTGATGAACAAAGTCATTCAGAGTGGTTTCATGCTAAATAGTCCGTTCTATAGAAACTCTCCAAATCAGAATTGCTCAAAGCAGTAGTGATGGGAATCAGACGTCTGAACAGTTTAATGCCTCTAAAAACTACTTCACAGAAAGTTATTGCATTAAATGGTTAATCTGGATGCTATTTTTTATTTTTTGTTTTTTAAATTTTATTTTTCAGAATTTCTGCATATTTCAGTCACTGAGATGTGAACAAAGTCATTCAGGGTGGTTTGGTGTGGAATGGTTAGTCTGAATTTCTGTACAGTGGTACTAATAGGAACCAGAAGAGCAACGTCCACAATGCAAATCTGAACATTTTATTTACTGTCCAAAACCACCAGTGACCTTAGACGTGTCTTCTGAGGTCCTATATGTAATGATGATGGTGAAATAGCCATAAATCTGAAAAGAGTTACGCTGCCTGATGTCTTTTGCGATAAGATGTTGTTATAAGGCAAAATAGTCCCGAAAGAAAACAAAAACTGACTTTTTTGATTTACCACCATTTCACCTTCATCAGTATTACATATAAAAACTCAAAAGACACATGTAGGTTCATTTTGGACAGTAAGTAAAATGTTCATATTTGCGTTGTGGACGTTGCTCTTCTGGTTCCAATCACCACCACTGTAGAGAAAATCAGACTTGGTAAGTTCGTCTACAGTGAACCCCTCTCACACCAAACCACCCTCAATGACTTTGTTTACATCTCAGTGACTGAATTATGCAGAAATTCTGAAAAAATCGGTGGACTCCCCCTTTACCTCGGTGCATAGACACGACACGCAGTTTTCAACTTCACCACAGAGTGGCGCTCAATACCGTTTTAACATCACTTTGTTCACAGATTTTCCGTTTTTTCCCCTGTATAGTTCATTTTTTACGCTTGTTTAACGTTTTTAATGCATTTTGTTGATACGAAGCAACATCCACTCACTAATAACTTACTGTAAAACGCTGCAGTGAAGACGAAGCTGAAGCGTCACCAGCTTCTCCTCCGAATTGTCCCGTTCCACCTTAAATGGTGCAGAAGCTGCATTGTGGCGCCTGAGGCCAGAACGTAACTGCTGCACCATTTAAGGTGGAACGGGACAGTTCGCCCTCGTGTAGTAAAGTTTGTTCATTGTTTGTATTTCGGTCAGTAACGTTATATATTTTACATTTTTAGTTCTCTTAAATTATTATGGGATAGTTTTCCCGGACGAACCGACTCCGCTCCGAAGTTCTTTCTTCACGGCTCCTCAGCAGGTGGACGTGACGTCACGGCCCCGCAAACTCACAGAAACAGACAGAACCAAAGTTCTGCCGTAACCTAAAAACTCGTTTTAGCGGACAATTCGAAGGTCTGAACGTGCAGTGAACACGCAGGCAGAGCTGATTTTGCTGTAAACCTAAGCCGCTCCGAGTATAGTCCCTTCAGTACCTGGAGCGGAGTAATACATTTGTTTACATTGTGCTCCGGCTCTTGGAGGCGAGCGCGGTCCGAGCGCTCAGAGCAGAGCAGAGCAGCGCCAGCGGCGAGGCGGCGAGGCAGCTCGGGTTGCCGCTGTTGCTTTCGTGAAAACAAACATTTCACCCTCTTTTCCAAGTGTTTTCGGCTCCGTCTGCGCTTGATAAGCTCCATTCGGGTGAGTTGACGCATCCTGGCGGGGTTGGCTCTCGGAAAACGCTGTTGTTGAGGCGGGTTTCTCTCAAGCCTGACGGGGCTAGCCGATGCTAGCTGGCTAAATGTTATAAGACGGCAGTTTGTGCTAAGCTAAGTTGCTACCTGGCTGGCTAAGTACGTACTTTAGGGTAGGTGACTCGGTACTTAGTACAGAAACTCAACGTGTCAGTTTTGAGTGTCTGAGTTACGTTAAAGGGGCTGGTATTTGGTTTAAATAGCGTTGTCCGCAGTGTTAACCGCCGCAAAAGCTGCGAATGCCGTCCAGCGTTGTCCCGCATCTCGGTCACTTGCTGGCTAGTCCATGTGCGCCGAGCTTTGGAGAAGTTGGCGAGCTGAAGTTGGAGAATTGTGGACAACAGGAGAGACTTTCTGGTCTGATCACTCCTCTGTCGGTGTACAGAGACTCCTAGTTTCAGGGTGAGATGTTTAAGTCGTGTAGAAAACCCTAGAAGCCCCAGTGGTACAGTAGCTGAATCTTCCAGGTTAGTTAGTTCATTCATTTTCTTCTTTTCACGCTCTGTTGTTTCTCTCCTATTCATATCCACAGTTCACAAAGTCGAGTCAAGGCAGTTGTAGGGTTTATCAGTGGTGGACGAAGTACACACATCATGTACTTGAGTTAAAGAAGAGACCCCCAAGGTAAAATATTACTCCAGTAAAAGTAGAAGTTCCTCCCTTTAGACCTCCACTTGAGTAAAAGTACTAAAGTATTCACCTTCTAATGTACCTAAGTGTCAAAAGTAAAAGTACTAAAAGATTAATTATGACTTTAATGTCCTATTATCACTTTTTTAACAAGACTCTTGCATTATCAACTCATTTTAGGTGAAAATACTCCAGAGTCTCTCTTGGTAAACCAGTCTTTTAATAGAAGGTCATTAATTAGTGACGCTGATGTCTATTAAAATTATCATAAGCACAAAACACTGAAGGCAAACAGTTTCCATCAGGTAGAACTGAGTGGCTCTGAAATCACTTTTTGCAAACAATAATAAAATAAAAACTTTAAACTCAGGTTCACAAATGAGTTTCCTTTACTAAACTGCATCTGTAGGTCTCTGTTCATAAACATAAACTGGACAAAACTAATTTACTATAAAATGAAATGTGTTTGTATAAATTCAGAATAAAGACCCGTCAGTCACAACTGCATATGAGTACATATTTCTATATTGTGGTCTGTTTACACAAAGTTAGGTTAGTTCATCATTTATGTTGAATAGACTCTCCCAAAATTTTACGCTGCTGCACTGATGTTGAACCGTGTGCTGCACTGGGTCGGTATGACCAACAGGTCAATACAAGCTCAAAACAAAGTGACCGCTGTGCCCTGATTGGTGTTTTCACTTTGCGCTTCTTTCGTTTCGACACGTTACGTTTTTATACACACATAAACCAAAAGGAATGACAGATTTTGCAAAATGTAGTGGAGTAAAAAGTGAGATATTCGACTTTGAAATGTAGTGGAGTGAAAGTAAAAAGTTACCAAAAATAGAAATACTTGAATAAAGATACATAAAAAACTACTTAAGTACAGTAAAGAATTATATTTACGTAGTTATTGTCCACCGCTGGGGTTTATCCAGTAATATTGACCCTCTACAGGCTTATGACAAAGGCTGATCCAATGGCCGAAGAAAGAAGAGGGCTCACTTCTTTATTTTAGTCAGCAGATTTATGGTCGTGAGGTCATGAAGTGCATTTTGAAATGTCTTTTTCTGTTCAACTTCATAACATTTGTGCTCTCAACACACTTGATCCAACTAATCAGCTCAACAACAGCCTCTTTACTAAGGTGAAGTGGGTGTGTTAAAGCGAGGAGAGTACTAAAATGTAGTGTTGAGAAACAATGAGTCTGTTTACATACACGCAATAGTCTGATAACTGCAGAAAATCAGATTTTGTCAGTAATCTGATCAACACGTTTGCATGCACTTGGGTAATCAGATAATGGGGAAACTCCGGGTCCACATGAGTCAGACGGTAATCGGATTTCTGCTTTGCAACCAGCCAATAAACTCACGTAAATGTAACGTAAAACTCGAACTTCAAGCTACTTTACCTTAAAATATGAACGTACATCATCTAGAAGATGAAGAATATTTAAATGCTTTATTTAATGTTTGGTTTCAGCGTCGCTCCAAAAGTGTTTTGCTGTGTCTCGCGACATCCACCGTCTGATCTTGCGCATGCGCAGACTGAGAAATCCGAAAGAAATCGGAGTAAGAGTTTACATGCACTGAGAAATCTGATTACTGAGCTAAAATCCAGCCTCTTTATCGGATTTCTTAATCAGATTTCTAGATCAGAGTACGGTGTTCACGTGACCATTTGGATAATCTGATAACTGCAGAAATCTGATTATGATCGGATTATTGATTGCATGTAAACACACTCGCCGTTTTAGACGACTGTACTTTCCATACCGTGTGGTTTCTAGGATTTGAATGGCTGTGAACCAGGTGTTACCTGCCCTGAGGGCCTCAGGTCTCCAAGTAAGAGCTCTTACCTTTAAAGCATTCCAGAGATTTGCCTTCTCAGCACAGTTTAGTAATTTTTCTTAACTTGACGTTCAAGATGTTGCTTCTGGCCCAAATCTTTACTCAGGATTTACACCGATCAGGCATAACATTCTGACCACCTCCTTGTTTCTACGCTCATTGTCCATTTTATCAGC